AATAAATTTTATTAGAATATTTTCACTTATATAATTTACAAACTATGTCTTCACTAAATAATAAAGAAGAACCTAATGGACGTACATAAAATAATTTTCTCTAATATTTTCATAAATTTTTTTAGTACATTGGTCTCAACTCAAGACTCAAATTTACAACAAATTTAATTTCAATTAAGAGTTTTAAGGTTTTGTTTACTGATGCTTCTTGTGCACATTTTTTACACCACACATTATTTAAAGAGAAAAATCAAAATCAAAATGTTTGGACATTTAAAATATCATGACTTTTTATAAAATTATTTAAATATTCTTAATGAAATATTTATATATATATTGAAAAATTTTGTTTATGGTGGGTTCATCATAACTTTTCTTCATTTTTATTATGCAAGTATATGGTAACAGCTAAAAACTCTAAAATCCCGATTATGCACTCTGCTTTTGGCTCTATTCTATCAGACTGTAGACAGCTTATGTCCTCCTTTTTGTTCTGCACGATCCAGAATGTTCATAGGGAGGGAAACTCTGTTGCTCATGAATTAGCTAAACGTGCCCTTCATGCAGAGGCTGATGAGTATTGGATTGAAGAGGTGCCCATTGGTATTGCCCAGCTAGTCACAGGAGATAAGCCTATATTACTTGTACTCATTGAGTTTTGTACCCGTCTTTTATATGTGAAATAAAGTCCGCATGATTCATATATATATATATATATATATATATATATATATATATAATTCTTCTTCATTTAAGTAAAGATAAAATTTTAAATTTTATATAAGTGAAAATATTTTAACTAAATTTCTCATAAGTGTATTAAAATTTTTTAAAGAATTTAATGTGTATGCTTAGGGCATAGATTAGGAATAAGTGCACAGATTAAGAATATAATTAATATATATTTTTAATATTAAGTAATATAAAAAATAACTAAAATTAATATTAATTTCATCATTAATGCTACATATATCGTTTTAATTGGATGATATGAGCATAGGTTAAGAATACTTCTTTAACATTAAAAAGTACTTATCAATTTTAATTAAATAAATATTAAAATTAAAAAAAAAAAAACAATAAGCAAAACTCTCTCTTTAGTCTTCTATTATTTTGATTAATGATTTTTATTTTAATAACTGAATCTAAT